CGCCCCCGCCTCCGTCTCGGTCTCGGCCTCGGCCTCGGCCTCTTCTACCACAACCACAACCAGTGGGGCCCACTCGGACCTTCTGACCCGGCTGACCTCATCCGAATCCGAAGTCCAGCTCAAGGCTCTGAGGGAGCTCAAGAACCGCATCATCGGCAACCGGACCAAGAAGCTCTCCTTCATCAAGCTCGGTTTGGTACCACCCGTCGCCGCCATCCTCGCGTCCCAAGCCCAAGCCCAAGTCCAAGCCCAAGCCCAGGCTCAGGCCCGTCACGACTCCAATCTCCTTGTTCAGTCCGCCGCTGCCCTAGGAAGCTTCGCTTGCGGCTTCGATGCCGGAGTCCGAGCTGTTCTCGACGCCGGTGTGTTTCCTAACCTCTTCTTGCTTCTATCGCATCCTGATGATAAGGTATGTATATAATTCATTTGATTTCTCATTTTATTGTTTTGCAAAATGAATTGAATTTGATGCATATGCATGTTGGCTGGTTCTCTACTGTTTTTAGCTGGGTGAGAACATTTGATTGGGTCGCTTAATGTGTTTGTAATGTTTGGTTGCCAAGAAAATTTGTTACTTTTTTGCTTCGGGTTTTAAAAATGTGATGTGAATTACTCATCACAGATGGGTGAATTGATGCGTTTCTGTTACTAGTAGATGAGATTTCAATTTCCATTTGCTTTCTCTAGGTGTATTTTGACCTCAATGTCAGTTTCCCTGGCTTAAGTTTCTAATTTGTAAATTAGGAGAAATTCAGGTATGAAGAATGGAAGTTCTTGATTTATGAAAACTAGGATTGTGATTAAAGTTAAACTAACTGCATTTTATCTTCACACTATGTTAACAGTCATTTATAAGCTATGGAGCAAGCAAAGGTTTTTGGCTTAGGGTGAATTGTTTTCAATATGATGCATTGTGCCTCGAGTTCACTTTTCAATCAAAGGCTTGCCATTTTTATTTGGTGTCACAGTTAAGTCGTATATAACAAAGATCGATTCCACATGCTTTGGCTGTGTTAAATGCGCCCAGGTTATGCCTATTGGTTCTGGGGCTGTGCAAAGGTTATGTTATTTAGGATTCCAGTTTGAATCTATGGATTGTTTCTTGGTATCTGATTTAGGGTCTTAAGATGCTTTGATTTGCAAAGTTTAAAAGAAATTTATAACAACTTTTATGCTTATAAGCTTTAATGAGGTAGTTGAATCTGTCTTTTTTTTAATTTGATCACTAATTTACATGGTCCCTTAGACCTTTGATCAAGCGATAAGAGCTGGGGTGGGATTGGGATTTGGCTATAGGTTTAAAGTTTGCCAAGAATAACAGAGAGATATATGCATAGACAAGTACATGCAATGTGTACACTAAAAGTATGTACATATTTATATTTGGTAAGATAGTTCAGACTGTATAGTTTATAAACGAATATCGATGCTTACTAAGCCAAAATTCCTATATGGAGTCCGCTCTTAGGTTGCCTTAGCTACCCTTCAAAACAACAAGTATATATTTGAATATTTTATTGATATAATAGTTACTTTGACATTCTAAATTTTGCCCAGGCATTATTCAATTATCCAAATAAAGTCCAGTAGAGGAAAGATAAGATGTGTTGGGAATATTCACATAGTTCACATGACAAGGTAAAGGGTTTGCAATAAAAAAAAAAGTTTGTTATCTATTCACAGGGAAAGTTTTGACAAAGAAACTTCTATAAAATGTATCTGGGACTGGTTTTTTTACTAGTCTTATTTCACTTTTTCATAGCACGAACCAACTATGCAAAACAAGAAGCCTAGAATTTCTTTGTTGACACCTTTCAAAACTTGAGAGAGAGCTTTCTCCAACCAGGGAAGAGTGGTTGAACATGGGAATGAGGGGCTATTTACTTATTTCCAGATTTGGCAAAGTTCTACTCCTAATAGGAAATGGTTGTCCAAAGTCCATAAATATGTCCTCAAAAGAATTCAGGCTTCTAATGATGGATTATGAAGAATTTTATTGTGTGTATCCAATATACCACGTATCCACTTGGTGTATTGAATCCACCCATATCATAACACATCTATAGTCATTCATGTATAAACCCTAAACCCATCATAATTCTTTTACACATGCTATAATGTGAGTGGATTCAATATGTATCGGGTACTTATTATGGATTGATGGGTTACTTATTGATTTATGGCGTGCTTGACCTGTAATACTCTCTCTTTACTCTGCAAGAATAGCACCCAGCTTCTTTCTTTTCTTACCTTCCTACCCCAATTTTTAATCCTGGTTTTGCACAGTTAGAAATGTAAAACAAGATATGTTCCCTACTACCTTTAGCCCTCAAAATACCTCTTGAAAGCAACCTGAAAAATCCCAGAATTACCTGTTGCCCAGAATCTGAGCAACCTGTCATCTTGAAGTATAGGCCCTATTACCCTCTAAAGTCTAGTATTTTAATCCATAATTCATTCTACCATACCCTTCCCAGCGACTACAAGCCTTGAAACCTCTATTTGCAGCCCTAGAGCCTACGGTACAATAGGCAAATTTCACCAACCTGTGCTATGTCAACCACTATTATCAAAACTTGTTATATTCCATTTCTTTTACAGATGATTGCAGGAAAATGCCACTCAAGGACCTTTATTTTGATTAAGAAAACTTTGAAAACACAATCACAGCTTTGAATGACTTTTGTGAATAAAAAGAATATATATATATATATATATATTTTTATTTTTTTTCTAATTGCAGAACAGCCACTATTTGTTTATTCATTTATAAAAATCAAAGAAATTATTATATAGATAGTGTTAATTATCTAAATGAATGGGTATGGGATAATGGGATTATGTTTGTCTGCAATTAGTAAGAAAAAGAACCCATAATTGTAAATCATTGGAATTGTAGGACTGACTCCCATATGAAGGATCCCATATATACCTTGATGATATAAATAATTCTCCTGATTTGGCAGTTTGATTTGAAGTTGGATCAAAACATTGGTTGTAGAGAGAATTGTGGAATTCCACCATCCAGAATTATAGCTTATCCATGTCAAGGTGCCAGCTCTGTCTTTTGCTCTAAATGAATGCCTACACATGTAATATAGCGTATAAATCTACATGTTACAAAAGATAGAACAACTAGACTGACACACCACTAGACATTCCAATATTTGACTTTCTCTCTGTACTTCCCCTATATCTAGTGGGGTGGAGTAATGGGGTGGAGTAATGGGGGTGGATAAAGGTGAAGGAAATCTCTTGTCCTCCCTTTCTTTACAATTTTTTAAATATATAGGAAGATACTTTTTTGACATGTTCATCTATTCTTTTTCAGTTAGTTAATGCGTCACTTCTACTGGTTCTTTGTTGGGTTAATTGCAGAATTGACCCTTGTTTCTAACATGTCCTACATCCATGAATACCTTTTTTTTATCCCTGCTTATTTTAAATGCCATTTCAATGGTTTTATTTGTGCTGTAGGTTGTGGATGCTGGTGCACGTTCCTTAAGAATGATTTATCAGTCGAAACTAGCTCCAAAGTGTGATTTCCTTCAAGAAAAAAACATGGAATTTCTTCTTTCATTATTGAATAGTGAGAATGAGAATGTTACTGGACTTGGTGCAAGTATTATCTTACATTCTTGTGAGAGTACTGCAGAGCAGAAGGCACTGTGTCATGCTGGGGTTGTAAAGAAGCTAATTAGCCTTCTTGAAGGTTCTCTAAGTCAGAGAGATAATAGTTTAGAGTCTCTAGCCACAGTTATGAAGAACAATGTTGAAGCTGTTTCGGAGTTTGTGGGATCTGAAAGTGGAAGAGCTCTGAGTTCTGTAATTGGATTGACAAAGGATAGGTATCCCCGTACAAGATTATTGGCCTCTATGTGCTTGATTGTTATAAGGAACACTTCTGCTTGCTATTTACAAGATATAGGCATCAAAACCAAGTTGGTGCATCTCTTACTTGAACTTCATGATGATCCTGGTCAAGTTGGAGATGAAGCTCCCTTTGCATTTTCTAGTTTAATTTCAGAAAAACCAGATCTACAGAAACTAGCATTTGAGGCAAATGCTATTGATAAACTTTACAACCACTTGCAAAAAAGTCAGTTACATCCCAAACGTTTCCAAGGAATATTGCTGGCACTGGCTGATCTATGCTCAAAGTTGGAGAGCTGCAGGTCTAGATTCCTGTCATTGCAGGTTTGTTGCGTCTTAGAATACGTTAACTTGTGCCAGGGAGTGATTATTACTGTTTTGTCAATAAAATTCTTTGTTCTATTCATTTAGTTTTGAATGTTTATTCTCCGTTCATGGTTTTGGTTGTGATTAGGGCTGTTTTACCAACAATATTTCTTTTTCTATTCATTTAGTTTTGCATGTTTATTTTCCCTAATAACAGTTTAAGTCATTCTGTGAGAAAAACATCACGACAAGGGCCCTGCAGTCCTCATTTCCCAGCATGTCTGGTTGAATGGCTTATGTCTTAGCTGTACCTTTTTTTTTTGGTTTGAGAACATTTTAATACTGAGTAGTGTGGGTTACATACTCTGTAGTTCTTAGGAGTCAATCTTAGCAGGCGAACATTTTAAGTTTTTTATTCAATTTGTTAGGGATTGGAAACTTTGTTTATTTTGATCCACTGTTAAAATGATTAACTAAACTTTTGCATGGCTGCTCAAGTTTACATTTTTTCTACATGCAAATTGTGAGACATTATTGAGGATCATGTCTTATTTTGCTGAGAAGTATTGCAACTTATGATTAATTGGATAAATTTGCTGAGTTATGGGGTAATGCTTGCATAAAACATTTTTCTTTATGAAAATTCCAACCGGTTTGTAACTTCTGATATTTTCCTGAATATAGGCGTTGAACTTGGTATCTGATGCGCTAACTCATGATAGTTCTGACATACGTACTGCAGCTTGCATGTGCTTGAGATGTGTCTCTCGGTCGATCAAGGTTTGCAATGTGTACTTGCTTAATGATATTTAGAATTATATTCCATGCATGTATGTTTCTAAGAAATTGTTATTCATAATTATATTACATGCATATATGTTTCTAAGAAATTGTCGTTCAGAATTTGTGTGCAGGTAATTTTTTGAATGAAATGATTGTCCCTCCCTTAGTTCGGCTATTAGATGACCCTTCTACTTCTGTCCAGGTATATGCTTCCTTATCACTAATGACCATGTTTTTCTGTCAGCTGTCAACCTTAGAGTCTGGTCTCACATTATTCCCAAGCATATTACATGAATGAAATACAGAACCCAGTTGCATGAATGCAAAATAGTTGCTAAAATTACCTTACAATTTCTCTGTATAATCAATTCTGTTTTTAGTGCTCTACTTGATACTTATGAAAAAGAGGGAAAGATAAAAGAAGAGAAGTCGAGTTGATTGTTGCTCACACCAAGGATATGTTTGATGGTGGCTGATGCCAAAGAACTACAAATGAACAAATTTGGTGTACTAGTATTGGTGAAATAAATATTTAAAATAATTACCAAGTTCTACATTCTTTTCTGTCCTAATAATTTGGTAGTAAAGAGTGATTTTATTCCTAGGTGAAAAGGCGCACACATGGCTGGAAGTATTGAAGCACATAGCCATCAAAGTTCTTATGGAGACTATGGACTCAGATTGGGTTGAATGGTGAAAAAGATTACAAGTAGGCGACACCAGTTGACACATGACAAGGGAGGTCTTGTTTGGGGGGTTTTAGGAAAGCTATCTTCAGGTCAAATGGGTTAAAAACTTGTGGTTGTAAGATATTAGAAGGGAGAAAAGTTAGGGTTTGGGTTAGGGCCTAAAGGTTTGTCTGTGATCGATAAGGATGATTTCAACAGTTTCTGGAGAAGGGAGAGCTAGTTACTTTATGGATTTTAGTGTTTTGAAGAGTAGATGGATTACGGTTTTAAAGACAGAAAACAACCTTCAATATCATAACAGCCCTGAAGGATACTAATCATGATCTAAACTATAGTTAAAGACAGAAAGATCTGGCTTCTTGTGCCCTTCGTCCCAATCAGTTGGACTTGAGGCTAGGAGATTTGAGTTTACCTTTGTGTATTATTTGGAGCCTCAAGCCTAGACATTATATATTGAGAGGGTCAAACAACATTATGGATGAGCACATTGATGTGAAGAATCCATTAATGCATTCAACTAAAAGATCAAGTTTACCATTCAAGAGTAAAACACTTAACAGATCAGGTTTTCCAGACTGAATTTGGCTGTCATTTGTTTGTCTTCAGTAGCCTTTTGTCATTAAAGGCCCTGGGTTACTGACAGCAATCCATATTTTCAAGTAGTCAATTCCTATCTCAACCAGTTTTACTCATTCAGTAAAAACATATAATTTCATTGCAAATTATTTAACATAATACATACAATTAAAGTTTAGATTAGCGTTTCCATTCCCTATAATAAATTGTGCTTATCCAACAGAGTCAAATACTATACCTTGTCATTTACCCGAATAAAAAAGGTAATTTATAGCAAATCTTGCTTCAATGCTCTGTTTTCAGGTTGCAGCTATCAGTGTTCTTGGCAACATAGCAGTTGATTTTACTATGCGTAGGTCATTATTTGTACAGTGTGGAGGTGTGAAACAGCTTGTTCAGTTATCAAAATCAATGGATTCAACTGTGAGGTTAAATGCTTTATGGGCTTTGAGGAACTTGATGTTCCTTGCAGACAATGTGTGTAAAGAAGGGATCTTCATGGAGTTCACAGCTTCATCATTAGCAAGTGTCATCTGTGGTAATGTGATGGTTTATTGGTGGCAGTTCAAAGTTTTTCTTTTAAAAAGTTTCTTACTATGTTAATGGTCTAGTTATGAACATAAACCATTGCTTAAATGTATTTGCACCTGCAGACCCTGAACCTTTTGTCCAGGAGCAGGCTCTGGCACTTATTCGCAATCTAGTTGATGGATGTATAAAGTCTGTTGAGCTTGTGTTTACTGAAGATGGTATGATATTAGATGCTGTTCGGAGGCAGTTACAGAATGCTTCAACAGATGAAATTTGGATACAGGTTAGAAGTCTTTCTATAGAATGGTGTCAGAAAATAGCAATTTAATAGGGACCTTGGTGACATGCAGTCATATCAGTTCTTTATTCTGATATTTCATTCCTGATTGCAAGTTTGTTTATAATATATGTTAACTAAGCTGACATCATTATAATTGGGCGAAAGTTTTGTAGCAATTAATGGTGGGCCAATTAGTTGCTTTTCATGGATTAGAATGCAGCCAGATGCTTTAGCTAAATTGACATCATCTCCATCTTTAATATGGATTATGGTTAGGTGAAAGGTTTTATACTTTATTCAGATGGAATATCTACATTACCAAAGTGTTTACTTTCTCACGATAAAGTAAAGGGATTTTAGCAGTAGGCCCCAAAAGGCAACACTTTTTAGCAATAAACCTCAGAAAAAAAAATTTGTTTAGCTTTAAGCCTTCAATTTCTGGGTAAGAAGTTTATTGAATAGCCCCATTTAGAGCTTAAGAATGAATAGAATATTTTGAGCTTAAGAATGAATAATAACTTCCCCTAAGATTGGGTTTAAATATGAAGAAGAAAGGAGTGGGTGAGCAGTTGTAATAGTTGATCTTCTTGTTTCTATTATAAATCTGTTACTTTATAGTAGGGTTTCAAAATCTTTTTCATATAGGGAATGTATGTGCTCAGTAATGTTGCAAGTGGGACGGAATTTCACAAGGAAGCAGTTATGCATCAACTCATCCCACAAGAAGACAATGGGACACAATCTTTTATTCTCAAGTTTTTGCAGAGTAATGAAAGCCAGTTACGTACAGCTGCAGTGTGGGCCATTGTGAATCTTACTTTTCCATCAAGTCCTGGTTCATTTAGCCGGCTTGTAAAACTGCACAGTGCTGGCGTAGTTTCTCAAATAAAGAGCATGGTCAATGATCCTTGCCCAGACGTGAAGGTTGCTATCTTATATCTCAAATTTGTTATTTGTTCATTGTTTGTGATAATCTGCTAAATCTTATCCATTTCATTTGATGGCACAGCTTCGAGTAAGAACAGCACTTGGGCAATTTACGACCTTAGGTGATTGCTCAACATGATTTTCCTATGCTTGAACCACTAGCAAAGAAAAGGAGTAATGATGAAGTTGTACTAGTTTTGACCTCATTGAATGTTCAGCCTTTCAATTATGGCTTACAACCACGTGGTAAGCTTCTCTCAAAATGAGATATGTCTTTTTTGTTTTAATACAAAAGTATTCCTATTTTATTTGAAGCCAAGTTGTGTCTTGTATGGTAATTATAATGGAATAGTGGTGATATATTAGGGTTTCATTAAAAGTACGAAGGGTTGTATACAAGGAAATGTAGTGAAACTAATAGTTTTACTTGTACCAGTGCTTGAGATTATACCTTCGTCCAGTAATTGCATGCACCTTGTTAAAATAATTTTGCACTTATACATAACCCTACCATTATTCTCTAATAACTTCTATCTTCTGAGAATAATGGCTGCCACTACTTGTCGTGAGATGCTAATATCTTTTGAAGTAGGTTGTTTTTCCTTTCTTTTTTCTTTTCTCTTTTCCCCGAGTGGGGCGTTAGAAAAGCTTATGAAGATATGAATTGATTTTCTAATTAGCCAAGTTTATGTTTACATTTGTTATTTTTCCTTCGCAGGTGTAACACAATGCTTTCATGTTTTTTTTTTCTCCAGTCAGCAGTGTGGAAACTTTCTATTTTGTGGGTACTCCTAACCAGGTTACCTTAAAAAATACTCTCTGTTCAGCCTTTTGTATTTTTGTTCCTTTGTTTTTTTAAACCCCTTTACTACCATGTATCATATGATCAATGTAGTTATGTAACTTAGTGTACCATCTGACTCACATCGCATTGTGTGTACAATACTGTTGCATCATTTGTCAGATTTGTAAACATGCTGTATACAGCGGCAATCTTTTACTTCCAAATGTATAAAGTGACCAGTATATCGTGGCATGTTGTTGCATTGATGGCCTTGTGGGAGCTCTGTGATGAGGTATCCGGCAAGGATGCTCTGATGCTACTGTGATTGAGGTAGGGCTACTTGTGTTTGGAACGAAGCTCAATTCTGTGGCTTCAAAATTTAGAAAGCCCTGGGGAACAAGTATCTAAATTACCTGATACATTATGATACCCAAATTTTCTTGTTAGGGAAAAAGAAAACCGAGATATTCTTGACTGCACTGGACCTATACTGCAGTATCGTAGTTAGAAATATATGAGGTTTTAGATGAGCTCATATATGAACAGATGATACATTGCTACAACAGTTGAGATTTAAAGGTATGGATTGTTTTTGGGAGAAACTTATGAGAATATAATTGATTTACTAGTTTACTAGCAATTATACATTTTTGCGTGTAGGAGTACTTAAGGATGCAAGATAATATCTTATCTTACATTCAGATGTAATTTAACCTAATCTGTGATCTTAGTTGACTATTGATAACATGACAAGAATCTGAAATGCTAAAAATTCATGAAATTAGTTTTCTTATGTGCTACTAAGTGTTCCATTTCCGTCCATGGGGCTGCCCAACTCAAGGAATCATCTGTTCTCGCATGGCAACCTTCGGTTTTAAAATCGACAGTCCCGCTCACCTAAGTGACTGAAAGTGGTGAAATGGGAGCACTAAATGAGTACATGCGAGCACCAAATTCATCTTACGTTGGAAATCCATGACCCTTTATCAGAGTTGAAATTATGGGACTTGGCGTAGTGGGTTTGCTTTTCTGTCGAGTGATACACGAATAGTTGACGTTTGGTGAGTTTGTTTTGTATCAAATGCTGATACTCAGCTCTTTGAGTAACAATATCTAAAGAGGTCATTGGCCTTTCGCCTCTCAGTTAGAAGGTAATGAATTTCAAGGGACAATTCCTCATTAGTTGAAGTCTTGATGAACAAAGATGTAACAAATAGATAGAAGAAAATTGAGGGATTTAATCTCAAGGGTTTTTTTTTTTTTTTTTCCCCTTCTTTTTGTTGGGGTAGGGGTTATTTTTGGGCCCATGATTTGTGCTAGTGGGCATTTTCCAGATTTCTTATTTGATGGGACAAAATCACTCTCAAAACTCCAAGAAGTATATTTCCCAGCATGATTCATCATGGTATTGATTCGTTCATATAAAACCAGCAGCCTCAAGGGCTTTTGAGATTCAGATCCATGCATCCTGTAAATCACATTGAACTAGCAGGACACTAAGATCCATTATAGTTTTTATTGTTTTCATCACATATATATATAGGCAGAATATTAACCTTGTACATTATAGTTTTTAATGTAACATGGCGGATGGCATTTTATATACAATGTACGGTAGGCAATTTTCAGCAACTTATTAGTTGGTGGCAAATAATATAAATGACAGACAGGAACCAATCTGGTATGTAAAGAGAAATATACCTAGTCTAGGAACAACACGGTAAGAAGACTCAACCATTTGATAGAAGCTACAATCTCTCTCAGCCAATCTTCTCCGTGTTGTCATCAGAGGGCCATATCACAGTCTCGATAAGCCGTTCACGCATCAACTCCAAGTTCTGATCAGAGATTTCTTGATATATTTCAGCATGATTGCATTTCTACATCAAAATTCATCACCAAAAGAAAAAAAATCATATGTAGTTCTTACAATGTCCAAGACTTTCCATGAGATACGTGCTCTGCATGTTGACGAAAAGTGCTTGTGATAAATTTTAGAATTGCTTACCTTGACCCATTTACCATAGAGGTGAAGCCGTGTGACCATTACTCTCTCGGCAAGTTCATGCCTCTCCTGTCAATTAGCAAGGGTTGTATTTCTGTCATTCATATGTACATGTAGCTAAGCAACCAAAGAAGACAAGATTTCAAAGACTACCTTCCCGAGGGTACGTATGAATCGCTTCCCATCTCCAGGCTTGTGTGTTGCAACAAAGCTGTCCGAACGGAAAAGGAAGCAGGATTAGATAAAACAGTTCTTAAAGTGATGAACTGAGACATAGGTGCTTTCTAATAAATGCTGGAGATGAAACTCATTTTGATCTGAAAGGCTCAGTATTCATCTAAGCCTATATCATTCACAAGACACAGTCGCATCTCATCCGTTTGATGAAAAATGGTCTGATGATCTCACTTACTCATAAAACCACCTATATTGTGTTGGGTTCATCTCATAAAGCTGGCTCATAACAGTCCTCACAGCCTTGTACGTAAAATAGTTGAGTATTTGCTGCAGGCAGAGAAATTACAATAAGATACTAGTTCGTACAGGGATCAACATCCGTGTTCATGCATGTAAAAGAGCAAGCATATGGGAGCAAACAAAAGATAACAGGATTGCATGATTTAGATTATCCCTATACAACTTATATAAAGATAAACATGATCACTTACTGCAAATGGCATCATATACACAAAATTCAGAAAATATTCACCTCTTCTTCTTTTTTCAACTATATAAACAAAGGGATGCAATATCCAACTAAGGGTCCTCAACACACCAAAACAGCAAAAAATACATCATGTTATCTAAGTAAGAGAGATGAACACATGCAACATCAATCCTATTAAATTTCTCATATAAACTTCATCAAAAAATTCAACGGAGGATAAGTTTCTCACCGTCTTAACATCCTCAAAACTGTCTTCATATTGCCCGGCAAGTTCATTAACAATCACGGAACTCCTATTCTTTCTTTTCCTCATACTCCTATTGACAATACCCGGAAGAGCTTTCATTGAGAGCCGCTTGTCACGCCCAGAATCAATAAATGAACTGCTCAATTCCAAGGAACCCGGTTTCACCAAACGCTTCTTATTGGCCATTGAATTCCTTTGCAAAACCACTTCTCCGCCACTCTTGAGATTCATAGCAGTTGTGGGCAGTGCATCCAAACACAAGCATGGAGAAGGATGCGAGTCCACGACTGACGAACCCACCACAGACAAAGCCCCTACCATCCTCTCTCAAAAGCTCAAGCTCAAACCACCTTCTTCTTTTTTTATGACAAACACAGATCAGAATTATTCTCAAAATCCAAACTTTTTCGCCGGAATTCAGGGAAGCAAGAGATACGCACGAAGTAATGCAAAAATCTGCTAATGGATCTCCAATAAAATTGGAGATCCGCAATTACAGTCAGAGATTCAAGAACTATAAGAAATGGAGCCTGGTGAACGAAGAAGGTGTTTTTTATTATTTTTTTGGTCTGAACAAAGAAGGTGTTTTAGTGCAAGTAATTTGTGAGAGAATCCCGGAGATTTTGAAGGTGTGTGAACATCAACCAGACAAAAATCTGAGGTCCAAAATACTCCACACAAGACGCTTCGGGATTCAAATCAAACTTTAGCTTCTTCTTTTTTTCACTTTTCTGAATATTCAATTCTCTAATATCTACCTACCTGGGACCTACCTGGACGGTTTCTCCAAATTGGTGGGCTTCCAGCCACGTGATGGGAGAATTTGTCTGGCTTCTATTCCAAAAGAGTATCTGTTTATATTCACCGTAGATTAATGGCATGTTGTCAACATAGACGTCCCGTTTGGTTTATGAGAAAGAAAGTCTGGGCATAGAAAATTAATTGTTTTTCCATGTTTCGTAAGTTCAAATATGGAAAATGGTTGATTGGTACATGAGAAATGATTTCCCTTCCTTTTAGGAAATGATATGGAAAGTGATTTCCCCTCAAATCCGTTTCGTGAACCAAACGGGCCCAAATAAATAAATAAATAAAAATAAATGGCAAGTTTACTTAGCAAGAATGGAACAAATAGCACGCAAGTGCATAGCTTAATGGTAAGAGCATTTGCATGTAGATTAATGATATACAAATTTATAAATAAACCCAATCTTAGACATGTATTTATAAAAAAACTCAAGCACTATTTAAACATAGAAACACACCCAAAATCAACCCCAAAGACAACTTTTTGGGTGTGTTTATAAAGTGTTGGGTGTTTGGTTTTTTTTATAATTTCAACCTCTATTTTGGGTGTTTTAATGAAACTCCCTTAATGATATCATGTTTTAGTGGCGGAGCCAGAACTTCACATTAAAGGGGGCCTATCACAAAACTTTTAAAAATAATTTGAATAGGAGTGCTCAAGCACTAACCGATTAAATAAGTTAATACAATACTAAGTGCCCTACTCAAACATGTAAAAAGGGATGGAAAAAAATTCGCAAAGCTTAAGTTAAACAAAAGAGGAGGAGAAAGAGAGAGAAAAAAAAAAAGGAGTTTCTAGTGCAAATATCATAACCTAACCTAAAATATTTAAGAGAAAGTAGAAGAGTGATTAAGAAGTTTTATGGTTAATTTATAGACAAAAAGAACCTAATATATTATTTATTTTAGAGTAAATATCCCGAAAATAATCTAATATATTATAATATTATATATCATATATAATATATAATTACAAGGGATATAAAGATTGAGGGGGCCTGGGACCACTATGGTCCCTACATGGCTCCGCCCCTATTAGGTTCAAACCCCAATGACACCTCCCCCGGGCCCTGTCCCCTTTTCAAACTTTGACACCCCAAAAAAACACTAAGAAATCAAATGAGAATTGTAAAGTTGTAAGGTTAGTTTTTGGAAGGAAAAGGAGGAACATGAATGGGAATTAGGTCAACAACTCCCTAGTCGATCTAATTTCTGATTTGAGGATGTGTGATTACATATTTAAGATGGGATTCACATGTTTTAGTAACGTCGGAGAAGTTAGGTATTAGAATCGCTCTCATACTTCCCATACTCATCGTTGGTAAGTAAACATGCAATAAAAGCATAAATGTTCTTCGGTTAGATTTTTGGTTGACAACACGAGTGTATAGTAAGAGCATGTCCACCCCCAAAAACTAAGTGACAGGACCCGTCCCGAATTTTCCGGAACCCGAGACGAACCCTGCGGAGACCCCGGCATCACACCCACGCCGGGTTCACTCCTTAAATCTATGTCCTCATTTACCAAAGAGGATTAAGGGCACGAGACTTTCTGCCGAAATTTCGGCAGAGTCTCCCCTGTAAATTGAACATTTCCCCAAAATTTCCACCTGCATAAAACACATTTATAACCCAACTGGCAGCATGCACAATATAATCTCATGCAATTTACATAAATGGCCTCCGGCCTTCAAATGATTCTAGCAGAACTGCCCACAATGCTTTTAAAATAACTTAATGCATCAAACATGCATATACCAAATTCCAAATCTATTTATGCACACCTTCACTTGCTCAGTCCACAGGACGAGTCTCAATTCAAC